TGTGCTACTGCTTGTGTTCATGCTAGAATGCTAGTAGCCATGTTACATGCTAGATTCATGCTCATACTAGAATCCTAGAATCATGCTAGTCCGAGTCCTACTACATGCTAGATTTGTGCTACATGCTAGTAGCTGTGTTCATGCTAGAATCATGTTTGAGTGATGAATGCTAGAATCATGTTGACTAGTGGCATGTTCATGTTAGGATCATGTCCTTGTTTCATGTTGCATGTTGAAGCTAGGGTTTGTGCCATGAGTGGATGTTATACGTGCATGTAGTAGGACCATTTTAGGATGGTCCCAAATCTGCATGGCTGCACATGGGTGCTATTGGCACTTGTTGTTGCTATTTTTAGATGTTTTCTTATTTAGGATAGTGCAGTGATCAGTGCCAGTTGCAGCAAAGAAGATGCCACTGATCAGTGACTTGCCCAACAACAAGTGTCATTGATAAGTGGCATTTGCCCCTAGACAAATGCCACTTATCAATGGCACTTGCTATTGGGCAAGTCACCGATCAGTGTCATTGATCAGTGCCATTTGCACTACAGCAAGTAGATTAGTGCTCTTGCCCAACACCAAGTGCCACTGATCATTGCCATTTGGCCATGAGCACATGCCACTGATCAAGTGGCACTTGCTGTTGGGCAAATGCCACTGATCAGTGGCACTTGGAATGCTAGAATGCCCAACAGCAAGTGCCACTGATCAGTGGCATTTGCTTGCTTGCTTGCTTGTTTGCTTGCTTGCTTTGTTTGATACTAATACTTGTCATGTTGCCTGATAAGATACTGAAGACTGACTGGGATATGGCGGGTGGAGGAGCTCAGGTCGTGGCCGGAGCTGAGCGCGCCGAGGATTTCATCCCCACGAACAGGTGGCTCAAGACAGTGGACCTGCATGGCAGGATCGCCTTCATGAGCGTGCCTCATTCAAGGGGACGATCTCCGAGACAGGGCCACGAGGAGGGAGTCAGGGAGCCGATGAGATTCTACCAGCGGATCAAGGACAACGAGGACCTCGCCATGCTCGTCGTCCCTCCCAAGTTCGTGGAGATGATGAACACCTGGCTGGTCATCAAGCGACTCCCGCGCGTGGTCAGGCTCTCAGCCAACAAGCGATGCATGTTCTGGGTGCAGGTCCAGAACTTCCGAGGGCCACATGGTGCTTGGCCGGGGGTGGAATTACTTCTGCCACCGCCACCGCATCGTCCCCGGCGACCTCGTCGTTGTGCGCATCTCCGGACTCGGACTGAAGGTTCAGATCTACAACCACGACTCGTCGGTGATGTGCAGGTATCGTTGCAGCAGGCACAACTGCCTTGGTGGCATCGAGCAGGCTATGTAGTTAAGTTAAGTCAGGTGTTAGTGGAGAACTTTTAGGGTGTGTGGCGAGACTTGTGCTGGGAACTTGTTCATATTTTGGCCAGGAGCAGCACCCTGGCACAGCAGGGAAGGAGGATGTCCCTGCTCTTAATCTAGACTTATGCTATCTTGTTAAGTAGTTTGTTGTGTTAAGTTTGCTGTCATTACATTGCTTGCTTTGTTTGATCTTACTGTTGTGATGTTGCTGTTGTGTTGATCATGTGTGGTGATAAGGCCACCACATTTGAATGGGGTGAGGAGAACACAAACATTGTTTGCAACCAAACAGCTGAAGTTTGCATCTGCTCACACTCTAAGCACAACTGCAGGCAACCAAACAGCAGGGGTAAGTGCCTCTCGATGCGATGCAGGCAACCAAACAAGTTGCATCTTCTGCATATGAGGCTGTTTTTCAGTAACCAGGCTGACTAGAGATGGACATGCAATGCAACTAATGTTGCAAACTGCAACCAAACACACCCATATTGTATAAGTTGGACACGGAGAATCTTGGCATCAGATACAGATAGGAACTCGAATAAGATGATTTGCATTATGACGATAATCTATAGGAGACGTACATGATATATATGCATTCTTCATAGCATCTCAGAACACGTAAAAAACAAGTAAAATCTGATCTACAGTTTCGGCACTGACACAAAATGAGAATTGGGAGAGATTAATAGAGTGTGATGCCTTTGACCTTGGCTAGTCCGTTGGCTGGAGTAGCGAATTAGGTTGCGTCTGACTGGCCGTATGAATCAGATGGTGAGCAGATGAGCACGATCGAAGAGCAGAGGCGGGCGGGCGGCAAGGGCATGGACGGCGGCAGCTTCGGATAATCACACGTACACGCTATCACGGGAGAACCCAACTTCCACGAGACTAGGGCGGAGGCTAGCTTGCCAATCTGGCCGACCATGGGCCTTTTTTTTCGAATATACATGTTGAGATAGGGCCAAATACGTGTTTACCCGCAGCCGAAATACTCCTACATGGAAGGCCATACACAAAGAACGTTGCGAAACAAGTTGAAGCACCAGCGGAATGTGAATTGGGGAGTCAAGGGTCTAGCACACGACGCTGTCCATTTACAGCGAGGAGGCGAGACGAGGCTCAGCGGCTCGTGAGAGGAGGGAGCCCAGGACGCTGACAGGAGTTGGTTTGATCTTCAGATCAAATGCCTCGCTGTCAAGAAAATTCTTCAGTGTCTCAAGTCAACCAACATGCTAATCACGTCACATGGACTAGATGTGCGCCGTAAATTCAAGTGGAGACAAACGTGACAGCACATAGATATAGTTGTATATTTTTGAAATGGAGAGAGATATATTCCACAGACCAGAGTGCCTAGCCAAATTGCCGGCCACCAAGTCACGTACAAAGGTAGGAGCTGTGCCGGTTATACATACGGCTTGGGGTTCAACCTCCATCAAACAGCACATAGACGGTACTGAAGAAAACACTGTTTTACAGGAGAGGGAGCTAAACAGTCTCTCGGGGGTAAAAAGAAACAGCGTTGAACAACAGCCTGAGTGAGCTGAGAAGATGTCACGGTAAGCTCTCAGTCTCAGGTATCAAAGTCTTCGCATCGTCGCCCTCGCTGAGATTGTGAGAAGAAATGCCAGCATTTGAACTCGAAGCACGCTTCTGAAACATGAGTAATGGTTCAAATACAGCACAATGGTGCTTTCATCACAAGGCAGGTAGAATAGCCGTTCGAGAAAAACATGACAGCACTGTTTTCTTTTCCTCAAAGAATTAAAGGTGCAGAGACAGTTTAATCAGGTCCTTACTCATATTCAAAGCTCAATTCAGAAAATGGGACATGGAAAATTTGGTGTTTAACAATCAATCCATGATTCCTACTCTGACTGTTCCTTAGTTCTTCTTATGTTAATTTGTCTGCTATATAAAGGTGTATGATGTGGAACATTTTTAAGTACCTATCTGTTACATTACTTGACAGCAAACAAATAACTTTTAATTCCATGCACAGCTAGCACAGCTATGCTCGATTAACCATCATTCACCAAGTGTGCCAGCAAACGCACAAGAATGGAACTGTAGATAATAGCATGCATCCAAAGATGATAAAATTTAACAGCTTGGCAGAACCTATATCTATATGTACAAGTCTGAAAATACAAGTTAAGAAAGGAATCAACACTTGAAGTGTTTTGCAACCAAACCAGTTCCCAAATTTAGGGCACCTACACAAACCTTGATGAAAAACTATTTATTGTTGATGTAAAATATGTTGACTGTGATTCTAAAAAAAATGTGTTGACTGTTGGCTACCTCAGCACAATGAACATAGTAACTAGACAACTTGCACTAAGCAAACAAAGAACTAAAGAACACGTGTATGCATAAATTAAATCATTAAAATATGGCAGCCCCAGTGCATGTAGCTCCCGCTTGCGCAGGGTCTGGGGAAGGGTCCGACCACTTTGGGTCTATTGTACGCAGCCTTTCCCTACATTTCTGTAAGAGGCTGTTTCCAGGACTTGAACCCGTGACCTCATGGTCACAAGGCAGCAGCTTTACCACTGCGCCAAGGCTCCCCTTCCCAAATCATTAAAATATGGGATGGAAAATAATTTTATTACAGGGGAGATCAGTCATTTGTACAACACGAGATAATACAATTACTACCCCCATAACTAAATATAAGACATTTAGTTACAGAGGTAGTATTTCACTTATATTTTAAAAGAAGCTAATTTGCTTATTTATTGCAGGAGAGATTAAAAAAGATATAGGAGACAAGAACCAGCGAGATATAACAGAAAGGAAAAACATGAATATACTAGATCAAATATAAACTTTTACCTGATCTTCTATAGCACTACCCAGCATACTAATGATACTACTTGTTACCTCATCTGTAGCCTGCAGACAAGTTAAATTATTAGTTTGCCATGTTTCAAGGAAAAGACGTCAATGATCTGACTTGCAAATTTTAAACACTATACCTTCATAATAGTATTATATTTCTTCATACGAGCATTTAGATTTTGCATATCCTGCTTCTGCGCCACCCAATTAAGCCGCCGGATGGGCCTTGGCTGCTGCAGTCTCATGCAAGACATGTGTTACAGCAGCTATAAGGGTGTTCTCCGTCCGTTTTTGTACAGAAGGCCACTTCTTTTTTCTTGTCAAACTTTGACTAATAATTTTGGCCAACAATATATGGGTTATATGTCACCAAAACTATATCATAGGAAAGTTCTTTGAAATGCGCATCCAATGGCATACTTTTTGTGGCATATACCTCACATTTTGTTGGTAAAATTAATGGTCAAAGTTTGAAAAATAATAATGAAGTGGCCTTGTATACAAAACAGAGGGAGTACTTAAAGAACACTACGTTTTCTCCTTTTGAGATGATTATCTGACCATTCAAACATAATATGAAAATAAAAGGTATGTTGACTTCCATTTAGACAAAGAATTACCTGATTTGGAAAGTTTGGAGATATTTGATTGATTTTCATGCCAATTTCCTGTCGAATCGTATCATCCAATATAGCGGCAGCAGATCATTGATCATCATGCAATAGCATTACGCACGTTCCTATAAAACAGCAACTCTGATATTGTTAAAATTTTCAGAATAATAAAGTCTCATTAAGCTAAATTTGAATTCAGCAAGCATACAGTTCCCTTGTGCTCATCTCGGTGAGTGTCGCTCCACATTCTTTCATTCTCAGAGAGCTGATGCTCCCACGCCTTCCACTTCTTCAATTCCCAGCCTTCCCGCTGTTTTGGCATGCGCGCAATGGCAGTCTTCTTGTATACATCTAAACGTACAAGTGACTTCACACAGATATAGGATTGCATGTTGTCAGGCTTGTGGGGACTGAAATCTAACAGCTTTGCCATCTTACACAATTTAGTATTGAAGTTCTCCCCAAGCAACTCATAGGAATATAGGTTGCCGTCGCGGCGTTGCAGTATGATCTTATCCCCATAAACCAAATTTGGACCCGGAATGTAATCTGGCGAGTACTGAACATTGTACTTCTGGCTCCACCTTTGCTCTTTTTTGTTCTCAAGTTCCCAGATCTGCAGCTTACCAACAAGCCTTCTGGGCAGAGAAGGACAGGTTTGAGCAGTCGCTACACATACCTTGCCATCCATCTCTCTGATCCAGTACCGACGAGAACCACCACCGGCAAAATCTTCAGGTTTAGTTGCTGGCAGTTGTATCTGTGCAAAACTTTCTTCACAGAGATCGAAGGTCATAACTGCATGCTGCCAGCTAGCTACCATGTCTTCAATTAGCCAATACAGTGTTCCGTCAATAGTGACCGCTCCAGAGTTTTTTACACAGTTTAAGCTTAGGGCTTCTGGAGTTTTGATATCCCTCCATTTCTCATCACCAAGCGTGTAAACTTGAATGACACTGAATCTGTTATTGTTATGGGGGCGAGGGCGACCCTCGACGGAATCACCAAGGAAGTGTGTGATCTTGTATTCTTTTGTCAATGGGTGAAACCCAAAGTTGTAGAACAAGAAGTGATCACCCCTCAAATTCTTTACAGGTTTCTCAAGATGCAGGAATTCACCGGTTGCAAGATTAGTTATCTTGAGTGTTGATGACTTTGTGTATAAGCAAAGAAGCCCATTGCATGAACCACAAAGGAAATCATCAGGCCCAATCACTGGCACTGCATATGTCGACGGCGACCAGGCTTCATCAATCAGGATAGCATCAGCAGGATGGGGCTCGCCTAAGACCGACTCTTGTGGGAAGAACAGAAGGGCATAACGGGGTGCATGCTGGAGGTGTGATGTGACAAACTGGGGATCTCGGATGATTTTGTGCCATTGCTCGCAAACACCAGTGCACCTCAACAAAGTGCTCACTGGAAGCTTCAAAAATATCCGCTCAATGAGTTCTCCTGGGAGACAGTTTATAATGCATTCCTCATCTCTTTGCTTCTTTGGTTTGGTTTCCTCAGAAACCATAGTAAGCAATCTAGTTTCTTGAGGAAGCTTAGGTACCAAATGCTTCTGCGGACACAGTCAAAAACAATAGGGAAAACTGGGTGAAGATTATGAGTAAAGTAATTTGCAGGAAAATAACATGAAGTTTATGTAAAGTTTAACATGTTATGTACTTAGAATTGGTAAACAAGGAAATAAGTGGCGGATCTGTAGCAAATATGGAGCCCTGTGTGGCCATTGACTAATAACCGTAAACAAATCGACATGTGTATGATGCCTACGGAGTTGAAAAAACAAGCTAGCTTAAAACTAAAAAGTCTGGTGCTGGTGAAATAGACATATCAACATGCATAGATGAAACACAAAGTGAGTACGACACCGCTAAAACTCGCTAGCAAAATTCCTGCCACACGCCACAAATGACTCTCCGCACAACAAAGTGTGTGTGTGTCTGCACAACACCCATACAACTTAGACATAGCTTACATTATTCTCCCCAAAAAAACTTACATTGAGACATTGGACAAAACAAGCAGATAATGCATTTTTTTGGCATTAGAAAAAACATACGGCGTCCGGAATCAAGCAACAAAACTGAATCAGCGACAAATAGGACCGGTGATAGACAACAATTTCTGCACCCTTTGTGACTTCCAGCGGCTACGGTAGGTAGTATGCAAATGTCTAGGCAGCTCTCTGCTGCATTCCGGCACCGCGGAACAGCAAAACAAGCGAAGGGACGAAATGATAACTAACATGAATCGATTGACGGATGCTAGTGTAGATGGAAAGCTTGCGAGTGCGCGCTCGGCAACTTGAGGGCGGGAGAAAAGGGGGTCGGAGCTCACAGCCACCGCGTCGACCTGCAAGCCACCAAAGACCCAAGAGGGAACGGACCTCCTCCCTGGAGCCCGCGAGTCGCGAGGCTCGCTTCGCCGGCAGAGGCTCCTCTTCCGCCGCAGCGGCAGCGCACGGGCTGTCTCCGTCTAGGGTTAGAGCTGGGAAATGGAGATTGGGGATCTTTTTCGAGGGTTCGCGATTCGCGGTAGTCGAACATTTTTAGCGTAGTGGAAGCGATATACAGCATTTGCGGTAGCCAGACTCAAAAAGAAAAAAATTCGAGTTTGCTACTAATATTTTCTGCATTTTTTGTAAACATTTTTGAATTTCACGAATATTTTTTGTATTCGTGAAATTTTTTCAAATATGAAAGCATATTTTGAATTTGATAACATTTGTTGAATTTGTATAAAAATGAATTTGTGAACTTCTTTTGGGTTCATGAACATTCCAAGATAAGCTAATTTTCTTATTTAAACATGACAAAGGAAACTAAAATAGATATAGGTAACAAAAACTGGTAAAATAGAGAGAAAAGACATAAAATATGACATTGAATGTAAACCTTTACCAACACATAGTAGCGCTTCTTATTATATCACTGAAGCTATCAATCACTAAGAGTCATAGGGCCACGTTTACTCATATTTTGTTAGTAAATAAATTGGTGAGGCTGCCGGAAGCTGCACAACATGGTCGTCGTGGCCTTCATCAGCCGGTGGAGGTGATAGGGTGGAGAGGTTTGGCTCCATGTCACTAGAGAAATCATTGTCACCCCCGACGCTGCCACCATCACTGTTGCCTCCGTTACGGCCGTCGTCAGAGTCATGAACCACAAAAGCAGGGTCGAGGGAAGCTCTTCCGAACGGACAACCAATATTGTGGCAATAGCGTCGAGATCCAAGGAGTCATGCACCGGAATGGAATGAGGAACATTGGTTAAGCTGCGGCTCTTGACCCAGACGAGGGCCACGGAGTAATCAAGCCCAATGAGGCAGACGGTGTCGATCTCGATGGGACAAGCGAAAGAGATCATGGAGTTGGGTGTGAACCAGTATTTAATTGAAAAGTCTTCAATGTTTGAGGCAAAAACAGTGCCGAGACCAAAAAAAGAAGCAGTTTTCTGTTTCTTCGTGGCGAATGAGGTCAGCAGTGTTGATGCAACAGGTAAATGGGCTGGCGCGGCGTTTTTACATCATTTGTTGAAATCGCCTACTATCATAGAAACTAGAGGGATAATAGCAAAGAAAATCACGGAGCAGACGAATTTGATGGTAAAAAGGCAGCGAAGCGGACGATTGGACGGCCCAGGAAGCGCTGTCGCTGAGGTGTCAGGCAGTCATGAATTCTTAAAAACAAATTTAGATAAATCATGATTGGATGGTTAGGAGGACTATGGTATCCATAGCCCATCAGGGTAAGTCCTGGTGCTCACATTTATTTCTGAATTTATTTCAAGATTTTCGACGATGCACATTCAATGAGAGGAGACGTTCCCGTCGATGACGAGGTGCCTACGGTGACTTCGTAAATTTCAAGATAATATGCCGGCTTAGTCTTTCAGAGATGCTCATACGGGTAGGGTGTGCATATGTGCGTTCATAGGAGTGAATGTATGCGCGTGTACATGAGCGCTTACGTTTGTACGGTGTTCAAAAAACAGCCTATAGCAGTGTAACGCCCCGAGACCGATGTGCCAGGTGTCTTCCAGTTATTCGCTGTCGTTGCCATGTCATTCGCTTGCGTGTTGCATCTTATCATGTCATCATGTGCATTGCATCATCATGTTTTCAAAACTTGCATCCGTCCCGGCCTCCTCGTTCTCTCCGTTGTCCGTTCCGAGCCCAGACACACTTGCACGCGCCCGCGGCATGTCCGAGATAGTATTTTATAAGTGGCCGGAAAAATGTTCTCGGAATGGGATGAGATTTGACGTGTGGTCTTATTATAGTGTAGATAGACCGCCTGTCAAGTTTCATCGCAATCGGAGTTCGTTTGATGCCCCAACGATTAAATATAGCGGCAATAGTAGCCGGTCTTTTCGTCGGAGGTTTTCGGTCTCCGAAAACTGTGCCGGGCTGCATCTCTCCCCTCTCCTCCCAGCCTAACCCTCCTACACAGCCCACAAACCCCATCTAGTTTCCCCCTTCGCCCGGGGCCGTTCGTTTGCGATCGGAGGATCCAGAAACGAAGCGATACCCCCCTAACCCTAAAACCTGCCCTATATAAACCTCCCCCCCTTCCATTTTGGGCAGCTACCTACCCCTCCTCCTAAATCTCAGTGCCCCAATCATTTCCCAGCCGCCTCCCACCTCCTTCTCCTTGATTTCCGCGCGCAGCCACCTCCCCGTCGCCACTTGGGGCGCTGCCAAGAGGCCAGCCGCCACCTGAGGCGTCGCCCTGCCCAACCGGGCGCTGCCACGTCGCCCCACCGCCTCCTCCCATCGCCCCGCGCCGCCAGGTCCGCTCCAGGCCGCCCGGGCCCCGATCTGGGCCCTGAGGCCCGCATCGCGCCGCCCCTGCTCCCCGAGCTCCAGATCGGGAGGAGCCCCGATCCAGAGCCCGCATCGCCGCCTCCCCTACCGGACTTCGCTGGAGAGGCACCGCCTCCTTCCGCGCTGGCCTCCCGGCCGCACCACCTTGCTCCCTGCCAAGCCCCGTCGACTTGCGCCGCCATGAGAGCTCCACCACGCCGGAACCCACCTCCAGGAGCGCGGTCGTCAACCACCGCGGCCAGATCCGGGGTCCCCATGCCCGGATTCGTCCATTCCCGTGGATCCCCGCCGTGCCCGCCTGTCGGAGTCGCCGCTACGCTGGCGTTGACCGCGGGCGCCGCCGTCCCACTGTCCTGCTTGAGCGGGTGCTGGAGGACGACGACGAGCGCCTCCGCCCTCGCTCGCGTGGGCCGCCTTGGCCTCCCAGGCCCAGCATCGCCTCGGCCTGCCTCTCCCTCCTTCCTGGGCCGCGCCCGCCTTCGGCCCAGCGCGCCGTCCTCAGCCTGCCTGCCTCTCCTCCAGCCGGGCCGCAGCCCAGGGGTGAGCCGCCCACAGCGTCCCGCCTGTTGTTTTTTTTTCTTTACTGAGTGGGCTTGTCTCAGTTTCAGCCCAGCAGTGTTTTTTTCAGCGTCTGGACGATTTATCTATTATCCAGAGATGGCAGTTTTGCAGAATAGCCCTTGTTCTTCATGCATTTAATAACTCACAAATGGTGCATCGGATTAAAACAATTTATATATGAAACTTACTCAGAATTTTGTGTAGATTAATAATATCCAACTTTCACCTATGTTTGAAATGTTTAAAATGTTGTTTGCATTAATTTGCCCCTATGCCATGCTAAAATGATTTAATTCATAACTAAATAACCGTAGCTTCGAATTAAATAAACTTTATATGTAAATGGGGTAGAATTTTGCCTAGTTTATCATGGTGGCATCACTTTGCATGTTAAACAACTCTAAAATTGTGTTTAGGACAGATCAGGACCAAACCTAATATTTGCACATGGGGATTTTCCGGAATTGTTGTTCGTTGCTTCCGGCCTCATTTAAACTTGCCTAGATAGGTAGTTTTGTTGTGCTTCACCTCTTGCCATGTTAATCAACATTTAATATTGTTGGGTACATAAACGAGATCGAACTAAATAAATCACGTGGTGTTCCGTCAATATGCAACTCGTTGCATATTGAGCTCCACTTAATTTGTAGGATTGTTTGTGCACTTTGCCATGCCATGCCTCTGTAAACCGGTCATACTTGATTGTGCATCATGCCATGTTGATGTGTTGGTTGTTTACTATGTTGTGTGCTTCTTTTCCGGTGATTGCTTCCTCGGGTCGATTCCGGTAACGTCGAGCTTGTGAGGACCCGTTCGTCTACGTTCCGTTTGTCTTCTTCATGGACTCGTTCTTCTTCCTTTCGGGATCTCAGGCAAGATGATCATACCCTCGAAATCACTACTATCTTTGCTATGCTAGATGCTCGCTCTTTTGCTATGCCATTGCTACGATGCCTACCACTTGCTTGTTAGCCTCCCAATTGCCATGTCAAACCTCTAACCCATCATGTCCTAGCAAACCGTTGATTGGCTATGTTACCGCTTTGCTCAGCCCCTCTCATAGCGTTGTTAGTTGCAGGTGAAGATCGAAGTTTGTTCCTTGTTGGAACATGGAGACCGTTCCTTGTTGGAATATTTATTTACTTGTTGGGATATCACCATATACCTTATTTAATTAATGCATCCATATACTTGGTAAAGGGTGGAAGACTCGGCCTTATGCCTGGTGTTTTGTTCCACTCTTGCCGCCCTAGTTTCCGTCATATCGGTGTTATGTTCCCGGATTTTGCGTCCCTTATGCGGTTGGGCTATAATGGGAACCCCTTGACAGTTCGCCTTAAGTAAAGCTTTGCCAGCAATGCCCAACATTGGTTTTACCATTTGCCACCTAGCCTTTTTTCCCTTGGGAGTCGCGCATCCCGAGGGTCATCTTTATTTTAACCCCCCCCCCCGGGCCAGTGCTTGTCTAAGTGTTGGTCCGAAAAGGGCAGCCTGCGGGGCCACCTCGGGGAAACTTGAGGGCTGGTTTTACTCGTAGCTTGACCTATCCAGTGTTGCCCTGAGAACGAGATATGTGCAGCTCCCATCAGGATGTCGGCGCATCGGGCGGTGTTGCTAGTTTAGTTTTACCCTGTCGAAATGTCTTGTTGTACTGGGATACCGAGTCTGATCGGAACGTCTCGGGTGGAGGTCTATTCCTTCGTTGACCATGAGAGCTTGTCATAGGCTAAGTTGGGACATCCTGCAGGGATTTGAACCTTCGAAAGCCGTGCCCGCGGTTATGGGCAGATGGGAATTTGTTAACGTCCGGTTGTAGAAAACCTGAAGTCGACCTTAATTAAAATGAATCAACCGCGTGTGTAACCGTGATGGTCTCTTTCCGGCGGAGTCCGGGAAGCGAACACGGTTGTTGGAGTTATGCTTGACGTAGGTAGTCCAGGATCACTTCTTGATCATACTTTTATCGACCGTGCTTTGCCTTCTCTTCTCGCTCTCTTTTGCGAATAGGTTAGCCACCATATATGCTAGTCGCTTGCTGCAGCTCCACCTCATACCTTTTACCTTACCCTTAAGCTTAAATAGTCTTGATCGCGAGGGTGCGAGATTGCTGAGTCCCCGTGGCTCACAGATACTTCCAAAACCAGCTTGCAGGTGCCGATGAGTCCGAGCAGATGACGCAACCAAGCTCAGGAGGAGCTCGATGAAGATCTTGTCCTTTGTGTTGTTTCGTTCTAGTTGATCAGTAGTGGAGCCCAGTTGGGGTCGATCGAGGACCTTTGTCGCATTTGGGGTTCTTCTTTTATTTTGGTTCCGTAGTCGGACCATGAGTGTATTTGATTGATGTAATGCTTTATTCATGTAATTGTATGAAGTGGCGATTGTAAGCCAACTATGTAACTCTTTCCCCTATTATATTACATGGGTTGTGTGAAGATTACCTCACTTGCGACATTGCCTTCAATGCGATTATGCCTCTAAGTCGTGCCTCGACACGTGGGAGATATAGTCGCATCGAGGGTGTTATAAGCAGTTAGTTAAAACTCTAGAGGATCTGAGCCTACTTGATTCTACACGTTCCACGACCGTGCATTATGAAAGGTATGCTTTCATCCGTAGATATAAGATTATAATGCAATTGCAAGGTTTGCACTTCCAACTATTCTGTGAAGCTTCAATGCATATCCAGTGGCAAGAGTCGGTTTGACCTTCATATCAAATGTCTCACTGTCCCGCAAATTCTTCAAGGTCTCGAATCAACCAATAAGTTATTAGATCACAAGGACTGAAATTCAAACGAAAAAAATACATAGCAGCACACAGACAGTACTTCAGAAAGAACACTTTTACAGGCAGAAGAGGTGAAACAGTCCCTCGGTGACAAAAAGAAACAAGTGTTGAAAATCATCGCCCTCATGATAAATTCTGAAGTATTAAGCCTTCGCATCATCGCCCTCACTGCGATTCTGAGAAGAAATGCCAGCATTTGAGCCCGAAGCACCCCTCTGAAACATGAGTAAGGTTCAAATACAAGACAATGGGGCTTTCATCAACCCATTCCAGAAAAAGGAAGGGTCTGAATCTTCATTATTTTCTTTTCCTCAAAGAAAGATAAAGTGCACACAGTTTAATCATGTCGTTAAATTTTGAATTCAAAGCTCAAATCAGGAAGTAGGAAATGAAAAATTTGACGTTAACCAATCAATCCATGGTTCCTACTCTGATGTTCTTTAGAACTTCTTATGTTAATTTGTCTGAGTAGAGCATTTTGGAGACCGAGCTCCATCGAGGACTTCAAAAATTTCAAAATTCAAACCTTTTAGTTTCAAAGAATTCTGAAAAAATACACATGTATACAAGGATGTAATGTGTCTGTGTGTAAAATTTCAGGATGAAACACCTTGAATTGCGAGCTGCACAAAATAAAAAATATCATGGACTTTGAGGATGAACAGTACATATGCTAAAAAGCCCCATTTTTTTTGTAGCTCTCATTTTAACGTTTTTCGACCTGAAATTTTACACACATGTACATTGTATTTAGGTATATGTGTATTTGTTTTCAGAATTTCTTTAAAGTGAAAAGTTTGGATGTTGAAGTTTTCAAATTAAGGCCTTCATGGAGCTCGGTCTCCATTTGGCATTTTCGAATTTGTCTGCCATATATAGGTGTATGATATAGAACAATTTTAAGTACCTCTTTAATGCAGTACTTGGTAGCAACCAAAGTATAACTTATAATTCGATGCCCTGTTAGCAGAGCCATGCTCAATTAACCATTATTCACTGAGTGTGCTAGCAAACGTATAAGAATGGAACTGCAGACAATAACATGCAATTCAAAGAAGATAAAATTTACAGTTTGGCATATCTGTATCTATATGCGTAGGTCTGAAAATATAAACACCCAAAGTGTTTTGCAATGAAGCCCATTTCACAAATTTAGGGCACCTACATAAACCTTGATGAAAAAACATTTCTTATTGATGTAAGATATGTTGACTGTGTGATACCTAATTGACAGCCCAATGAACAGAGTAACTAGACAACTTGCAAAGTTAGCACAAAGAACTAAATCAGAAGTGCATGCATAAATTAAAATATGGGATGGAAAATAATTGTATTGCAGGGGAGGCCATTCATTTGTATGGAGAGAGGTAACAATATTATCTTGCTTATAGTTGCTTATTTATTGTGGAAGAGATTAAAACAGATATAGGAGACAAGAACTAGCGAGCTATAGCAGAAAGAAAAAACATGAATAAATTAGACCAAATGTAAACCTTTACCTGATTTTCTACAGCACTTAGTATCATACTCATGATACTCTTTGAAGCCTCCCTCGATGCCTGTAGACAGGTTAACTTTATTAATTTGACATGTTTCAAGGAAAAGTCCTCAATGATCTGGCTTGTAAATTTAAAACACTATACCTTCATAATGCTACTATAATTCTCCAAACGAGCAGATAAATTTTCCCTATCTTGCTTCTGTGCCACACAATTAAGCCGCCGGAGGGGCCTTGGTTGCTGGAGTCTCGTGCAAAACATGACCAATCATGAGGGTACACTTAAACAATCATTACATCTTCTGCTTTTCAAATGATCATTGAATATTTAAACTTAAAACATGAAAATAAAAGCTATGCTGACTTTCGTTTAGATAAAGAATTACCTGATCTGGAAGGCTTGGACATATTTGATTGATTTTCATGCCTATATCCTGTCGAATCGCATCATCCAAGATACGCGGAAGTAGACCATTGAATGATATGCTGCTGCGTTCTGCAAGTGCCTATCAAATAGCAACTCATCCATTGTTAAAATTTCCAGAATAATGAATTATCGATAAGCTAAATTTGAGATCAGCTAACATACAATTCCCTCGTGCTCTTCTTCATGAAGGCAAGTCCACAGTTTTTCATAATCAGAGAGCTGGTGCTCCCATGCCTCCCACTTCTTCAATTCCCAGCCTTCACGTTGTTTTGGCCTACGCGCAATGGCAGTCTTCTTGTATACATCTAAACGTACAAGTGACTTCACAGAGATATAGGATTTCATGTTGTCAGGCTTGTGGGGAAAGAAATCTAACAGCTTTGCCATCTTACACAATTTAGTATTGAAGTTCTCCCCGAGCAACTCATAGGAATATAGGTTGCCGTCGCGACGTTGCAGTATGATCTTATTCCTATGAACCAAATTTGGACCTGGAATGTAATCTGGCGAGTACTGAATATTGTACTTCAGGCTCCACCTTTGCTCCGTTTTGTTCTCAAGTTCCCAGATCTGCAGCGTACCAACAAGCCTTCTGGGAAGAGAAGGACAGGCTTGAGCAGTTGCTATACATATCTTCCCATCTATCTCTCTGATCCAGTACCGACGGGGACCGCCACCTGCACAATCTTCATGTACAATTGCTGGCAGTTGTATCCGTGCAAAACTTTCTTCACTGAGATCAAAGGTCATAACTGCATGCTGCCAGTTAGCTACCATGTCTTCAATTAGCCAACACATTGTTCCGTCAATATTGACTGCTCCAGAGTTTTTTACACAGTTTAAGCTTAGGGCTTCTGGAGTTTTGATATCTCTCCATTTCTCATCACCAAGTGTGTAAACTTGAATGACGCTGAATCTGCTATTATTATGGGAGCGGGTGCTGCCCACAACAGGATCACCAAGGAAGTGTGTAATCTTGTATTCTTTTGTCAATGGATGAAATCCAAAGTTGTAGAACAAGAAGTGATCACCCCTCAAATTCTTTACAGGTTTCTCAAGATGCAGGCACTCACCAGTTGCAAAGTTAGCTACCTTGAGTGTTGATGACTTTGTGTATAAGACAAGAAGCCCATTGCATGAACCACAAAGGAAATCGTCAGGCCCAATCACTGGCACTGCATATGTCGATGGTGAGCAGGCTTCATCAATCAGGATAGCATCAGCAGGATGGGGCTCACCTGAGACCGACTCTTGCGGAAAGAATAGGACGGCACATTGGGGCGCCTCCTGGAGGTGAGAGGTGACAAACTGGGGATCTCGGACGATTTTGTGCCACTGCTCGCAAACACCAGTGCACCTCAACAAAGTGCTCACTGGAAGCTTCAAAAATATCTGCTCAATGAGTTCTCCTGGGAGACCGTTTATAATGCATTCCTCATATCTTTGCTTCTTTGGTTTGGTTTCCTCAGAAGCCATAGTAAGCAATCTAGTCTCTTGAGGAAGCCAGGGTACCAAATCCTTCTGCAGACACATTTAAAACCAATAGGGAAAAGTGAGTAAAGATTATGATTAAAGTAATTTGCAGGAAAATAACATGAAGTTTAGGTAAAGTTTAACAGATGTTTTAGTTTATCTACTTAGAATTGGTTAAGAAGGAAATAAGTGGCACCACCTATAGCAAACACGGAGCCCTGTGTTGCTATTGATCGATAACCATAAACAAATCGATATACATATGATGCCTGCAAAGTTGAAATGACAAGCTAGCTTAAAACTAAAAGCATGGTGAGATACACATATCAGGATGCATACATGAAACATAAAGTGGGTGCGACACCGCTAAAATTTGCTGGCAAAATTCTAGCCATAAGCCCCGAATGACACTCTGCTCAATAAAATGTGTGCATCAGCGCGACAACCATACAACTTAGAAATAGTTTAACATTGAGACATTGGATAAAACAAGAAGATAATGCATTTTTGGCATTGGAAAAGGCATGCATCGGCGACAAAGAGGACCGGTCATAGACAGCAATTTCTGCACCTTCTGTAAGTTTCAGCGGCTACGGCAGTATGCAGATGTATAAACAGTTGTCCGCTGTATTCCGGCGCCGTGGAACAGCAAAACAAGCGAAGGAACAAGATTATAACTAAAATGAATCAATCGACGGATGCTAGTATGGATGGAAAGCTTGCGAGTGCGCGCTCAACAATTTGAGGGCGGCAAAAAAAAAAGAAAAAGAGGGCGGCAAAAATGAGGGTCGGAGCTCACCGCCACCGCGTCGACCTGCAAGCCACCAAAAGATCCAAGACGGAACGGAACCCCGCCGCCTCGCCTCGCCTCGCCTCGCTTCCCCTCCCACGAGCACGCGGGTCGCGAGGCCTCGCTTCGTCTCCCGCCGCAACAGGGCGCCGCACGGGCTGCCGGTGTCTAGGGTTTTTAGAGCGCGGAATGGAGATTGGGAATTTTTTTTCCCGCGGTTCGCGCACGATTGCCGCCGCGATTCAGGCGGGGAGTTAACAAAGGGAAAGCGCACGGCCCAAAATTCTAGCCATAAGCCCAGGACGAGACGGCCTCTCATCCTCGTTTTGAGGTAATTCAGTAACCAATTTTTTTTCTCAAAAAAGATTGATTACTACTTACTATCCCTAAATAAATTGGTGAATTATCTAAAAAAATTGGTTACTGAATAATTGTATTTTCGCTATAAAAAATAGTGGAAAGGGGTAATGCCCAGTTGGAAGAAAAGAAAGAGAAAAGACACCCCACTGGTTATGCTCCGAAAGGAAGCATTTTTTTAGAGGAGCATTTCTTTGGCATGGTTCAAAAAAAGAGGAGCATTTCTTTTTTATACTTTACAAAGTGAAATGTATCGGAAAAGAAGTCTTGAAATGCTGTTAAAAAAGATGAAGATCGTACTAGAAGCCAAACTAAGCGATCAAAAATTGTATAGACGAGTGTTCAATACTCTTGGTTTTTTTTCATGCTATGCCATGCACAAAAGCAGTGGTGGAGCCAGTCTTGACTTGCAGTGGTCTGGGACCCTGGGTTGTTAGGCTGGGTTTGGCCTGGGGCTTGCTCGGGCCTAGCCCGATCCTGGTGCCGCCACTGCACAAAAGGACATCTTTCAATGTGAGCTGAGATCTAAACATAGCAACGTCGTATGAGAACTATGATTTATGTGCACTAAAAGTTTATCATAATATCATGTAGGGGTGCTTGGCTAGCCTAATGATGTGAGATTGTAAGGTTACCAATCGGCGGGGGAGGGACTGCCACATCTTATATAGGTGTTCGTGGCTACGTTTACAGTCTCGAGTCAGTTGGAGGTGTCCTGATCTATGTGAAGTAGGAGCAACCTAGTCGGTACATGCCATCGTCACCGCCCGACTGCCAATATCTCCTTCTATGGCTGTTGG